CTAACCTGTCCGTCCTCCCACCTCAAGCCCCACCCCCATCTCCTACCTACTAACCTCTTCCCACCCCCTTGACCTGTCCATCCTCCCTGGACTGACCTATCTCCTCCCTAACTCCCCACCTACACTCACCTTTACTGGCTCCATCCCCGCCTCTTTGACCTGTCTGTCTCCTCTCCACCTATCTTCTCCTCTATCCATCTTCTATCCACCTCCCCCTCTCTCCCTATTTATTTCAGACCCCCCCTTCCCCTCCCCCATTTCTGAAGAAGGGTCTAGGCCCGAAATGTCAGCCTTCCTGCTCCTCTGATGCTGCTTGGCCTGCTGTGTTCTTACTCCTACTACCCATTTTGTTTTTATGTATTCAGTAAAAGTAGGGATGTAGAGAGTACGCTCAGGGTTTAATGGTATTGGAGCTCATGTACTCTATGCTGGCTGCAGAATGTTTATTTTCCAGAAACCAATGTCCCTCCCCTACTCTAAAGTTCACCCTCGTGGCTTCTGGGAGCGAAAGGCCACTTTTGGAGGGAAACTGGCATCTGTGGAATTGTTCTGAGCAAGGAGTTCCTATTCTTGGAAAAGAAGGAATTTTGTTTGGGAAGCTGTTGATGAGGGGAATTGGTGAGGGAGCATTTAAAGACAATTTTTTTTTGTAAGACGTTTATTGAGAGCTTACTTAGGGAAGACATCATATGGTGTAGTTCTAGAAAGTCCACCTCCAGTTTGTGATGAGTTAGCCGACCTTTTCACTAGGGCTAAAGCAACTGCCGCTTTCAAGTGTGTGTGCATGCAAGTACGTGAGTGCATGTGTGTGTCTGTCTTTTCTCCTGTCCTCATTTCTAAGGTTTGGGATATGGACATCCATTGCATTGGTCCAAGCTTATGGACAAAGCACTGTAGTGGTTTGGCATTGTCTTCTGCAGGATAGCTGACCAGGAAAGTGTCCTGCTCTTAGCTCCTGTCCTCATGCAGATTGGAAGAACTTACAGGCTGACAGTCATCCAGTTTTGACATTATCTGTACACCTTTTTAGCCAACAAATCCTGATGTGGGAGTCAAACCCAGAGCTTCTGACCAAGATGATGTCACTATGCCACAAAAGCCTGTGTTTTGTAACTAGGAGGTGCGGGGTTGTTTGGTGGAGTACTGCATGACAAATTACTGATTGTCCTTTGACTAAATTCTGTTGTTTTCCCATTCACCAGGTTTGTACTGAACATCATGATGCCAGTCTGCATTCTGAAAGGCTGTCATTAAAGGATACATACATCAAGAAACTAATCAGCAAGAGGGATTAAAAAATGAATGTCATCAATGTCTACCGTTATTTCTTACATTAATGTATTCTGCATCCTGTTTCTCTCATGGGATTATATTGAGAAACTGCTAACGTTCATTCTATATCTGTAACCAGGGTAATTGTTCCTGTTGCTTATAGATGATCTTGTTGGGAAATCTGCTGTCACGGTTTGTCACATTAATCTGTCTTGCCACATCCTCATGTATTCACTAGCTCAGCTGCAAATGCTCTGTGACTTCCATCCTTCAAATGTATCGAGGTTGACCCCTCTTTCAGCTGCCCTTTACCCTCCAGAAGAGGCTTTTCAGCTCTGATCAAACGGCCCAAA